CTTTTTAAGCGCTCAAATCATTCTCACATATAAAGCGGGCTGTATGTGGACGGTGAGCGGGACTGATGATGAACACTGCGTCACACAGATGACCGGGAGATGAACACAGACGAGGGAAGTGAACATCCAGCTCCAGCCCTGTGGCTGTTTAAGGTATTTGAGTAACAGGAAATGCAGAACACACACTCTCACACACACGCACATACACACACATTCTCACACACACAGAGACACACAGACAGCTGTGACTCCATGAGGAGGGTTCATTCAGGAGAAAGCCTCACTGCCTTCCCATAATCCCCTGCATCAGGCAGAGGTCGAGCGATATGTCACCCACATAAAGACATGAAATAATCCTCACAACGCAAATAAAGCAAATCCAAGCACACATGTAGGACAGCATACGCTAAAATGTGCAATAAGACTCTTACGAGCCCCCAGATCACACACAAAACTATTGCTACATCACTTCCTGTAAGGGCTTCTGGGAATTTCAGAGCTTTACTGGAGCAACTTTTATCCTCGTAAGCTCCAGAAAACACACAGAATTAAATCAGAGCAGCAGAAACAAACAAGCACAGGAGGAATGCAGTGTGTGTGGACACTGTGACAGAACCAAACACACACAAGCCCCTGACCTCTGACCTCTCACTGACTCTCAAACACAACAGATTACCCACAACACACTGCTGCAGATCAGAAAGCAACAGCAGAATATCTCACAGCGCTCCATCAGCTGAGAGTGTTTATGAACAAACATGACCAACTAATTACAAACACATCAGTGGCCAGGAGACATTCTCCATTCTGCTTTGGTTCATTTGAATAATTAACAGATAAACTGATCACAGCTGACCTTCATCGGCCGGAGTCATCGTCACAGACACCAGATGAAGAACTCCTTCATCATGAGCATCTGCAACAGCTGTCACAATCATCTCTCTCTCATCCCTCACAACAACAACACTGAAGAGCAGAGATGAAGATGCTGAGGATGAGGATCTCACACACACACGATCTTCATCACACAACAACACTGCTGTCAATCTACTCGTCACGTCAAAAGTGAAATCAAGCGACAAGAAGCTTCAGTGTGTGTGTTTGAGAGTTTTTAATGTGTGTATGTGAGTGAGTGAGTGAGTGAGTGAGTGTGATTGTGTGTGGGAGTGTGTGTGAGAGTATGTGTGTGTGTGTGTGTGTGTGGTGTGTGTGTGTGTGTGTGTGTGTGTGTGTGTGTGTGTGTGTGTGTGTGTGTGTGTGTGTTGTGTGTGTGTGTGTGTGAGTGTGTGTGTGTGTGTGTGTGTGTGTGTGTGTGTGTGTGTGGTGTGTGTG